TTAGGTCATGATCTCGCGGTTCATGGGTTCGAGCCCCGCGTCGGGCTCTGTGCTGACTGCCAGCTCAGAGCCTGGAGCCTGTTTCAGTCTGTGACTCCCTCTCTCTCTGACCCTCCCCTGCTCATGCTCTCTCTCTCTCTAGAAATAAATTAAAAAAAAAAAAAAAAAAAAACCTTAAAAAAAAAGAAAGAAAGGAAGGAAGGAAGGAAGGAAGGAAGGAAGGAAGGAAGGAAGGAAGGAAGGAAGAAAAGCTCTATTCATATTACTAATGTGAATTCTGTTCTATCTTATTCAAAAACTATAAAATGGATGCTTAGATAAGGCAATCAAAAATGTGACAAGTATTTCCTTTATGTGGGATTCTCTTGTTAACAAATATCTTTATAAATGCCCAACTTAGTGCCTATGTAACTAATACAAGTGCAAAAGAATTTTACAATTTCTCCTTTAGGAAATTTAGCAGTGAAAAGATCTTTGGCAGAATAAAAACAAAAATTATCAATTCTTCATCGTTACCTTACTTTGAGAAACTCTAGAAAAACTATAACATGAGCAAACATTTAACAAGTGCACCTGTTCATTGACTCTAGAATGTGACGGTCCATGATGAATAAGAATCTTCACAATTTCTACATCTCCTTTCCAGGCAGCCAGGTGAATGGGAAAATAACCTTTGTTGTCTGCTACATTTGTTGATGCCTCATACTGAAGTAGTTTGAGAACTATGTCCCTAGAAGGGGGAAAAAAGCAGAAAAAAAAAATGCTAACTACACAGATTTCTTTAAACAGATAATGATGAAAGTATACCAGTTGCTGGTTGGCAATTGAGAGCAAGAGACATAAAATTGGGTTTAAGAGTTAGCCTATTCAACATTTGGCTATCTTACTTACCTGGAAAACCACCACCACCATACATACACAAACAGAGCATTGACTAACCAATGGAAGTACTTAATAGAATTCATTTGGGCAAAATTTATCTAATTTCATAACTGAATAAGTAAAACATTATCTTAAGATATCTCCTGTTTTTTTTAAAAGAGTTTTTCCCAAACAACCCATACCTGAGAGTTACTGTGAAGGAAAAGCTGAGGATAAGCAAACTCCTTATTTACAAAAAGAAAAAAAATCATACTACCAAGAGACATTTGGAGAATTTATACATCATTCTACAGAGTGGGAATAATGCATTGAAGATGCATATAAAAAAGAAAGCAGACAGCACAGCAGGAAAGGAGGAAATTTTTAATTTTTCAGACATGGCACACAACATATTCTGAATATGTGTTATTCATACTTCTGCACTTCTTCATCTCTCCTTCCAAGCTTAAGAAACTATTTCAGGTCATGATCTCACAGTTCATGGGATAGAGCCCTGCATTAGGCTCTGTATTGACAGCACAGAGCCTGCTGGGGACTCTCCATCTCTCTCTCTCTGCCCCTCCCACACACACATGTGTGTATATTCTCTCACAAAATAAACAAACATTTTTAAAAAATGGTTTCAAGAAGAAATTCATTCATGAGACAAGTTCCACCACTGATTCAACATCAGTTGATATTCAATATATCCTACCTATAGTATTTTGTACTCAATCCACACCAAGTTTTTAAAGTAAAAATTCTGAACTCTATTATCTGACTTCAGGAAGAATTAACAATTTTTGGTAAACATTATATTGAATTTTGTATCAAACAATCAAAAACAGTAATTCTAAATAAAAACTGCATTTTTACCTGAAAGCATTTATGAAGCAAATTCTATTTAAATTCACTAAATGAAATCCTATACTGGTATACAAATACATGCATATATACATATATAAAGTTGTTTCTCTTATAGAACAAATCACTGGTAGTAAGAACAAATGCAATACAAAGAGCTAAATTTAAGTATTTCATGAAGCCACTTTAAATATAAGTAACAAATGAGAAAAATTGGGAAATCTGAAGTTAGAACTATAATAGCTACCCTCCACAAACATACAAAATAGACATGATACAGCACAACATTACAGTGATAGTTAAATACAATGTCCAGAATGTGATCTAACCTTGTGAAGGGGAAGGGGAAGAATATACCACCCCAAAATATGTCTCTTTAGCATTAGGATTATTTTAGGTTGATTACTTTTAAGAAAGAGTAGATGTTGGGGCGCCTGGGTGGCTTAGTCGGTTAAGCGTCAGACTTTCGCTTGGGTCATGATCTCGCGGTTCGTGGGTTCGAGCCCCGCATCTGGCTCTGTGCTGACTGCCAGCTCAGAGCCTGGAGCCTGCTTCAGTCCGTGACTCCCTCTCTCTCTGACCCTCCCCTGCTCACGCTGTCTCTCTCTCTCTCCTAGAAATAAATAAAACATTAAAAAAAAAATTTAAAAAAAAAAAAAAAGAAAGAGTAGATGTTGGAAAAGCTCTGAAAATGGACTAAAAGTTACCCTTTTGTAATAGACATTTAAATTTATAAGAGAAATCTCCATTTGTAAGGAAGTGTCTCTCTTCTTGTACCAGAAAATGAAAGAAGACTATTCTATATCTCTGGAACTCTTATCAAGGTCTCAGGCAGCTGCTTCAATTTGTGTAACAGCCCCATAACTTATTTACTGTGCTTTTCCTCATAACCTCCCATAACTAGTTCCCTGCCACAAACATCACTTCATCTGTAGCAGGAAACGGTATTTAAAGTGGTGGCAAGGGCCATTTCAGGGAGTTAATTTAGTTTTTCTGGGTATGTCTCATGTATACAAGAGGTATACATGTTATTAAACTTGTTTTTCTCTTGTTAATCTATCTTTTTATTATGGGGAGAGGAAAGGGAGTTCCTCAGCCAAGAACCTAGAATGGTAAAAGGAAAACTATTGATCCTCTACAGATGAAACACTACACTTAACAGATAAATGTATGAAATCATGATGAAAAGAACCAAAAATATGTTGTAGAAATATTTAGAAAGTTCCAAGTAGTCCTAGATTTTCTAATGATAAGATTTTAGAGAAAATAAGAATAAATCTATTTTAACATTCTTTTGGTTCTTAAGAACTATTATTATAAGATCTGAATTTAGAAAATTTGGATTTGAGGGGCGCCTGGGTGGCTCAGTCCGTTAAGCGTCCGACTTTCGCTTAGGTCATGATCTCGCGGTTCGTGGGTTCGATCCCCGCGTCGGGCCCTGTGCTGACTGTCAGCTCAGAGCCTGGAGCCTGTTTCAGTCTGTGACTCCGTCTCTCTCTGACCCTCCCCTGCTCACAATGTCTCTCTCTCCTAGAAATAAAAAAAAAAAAAAAACCATAAAAAAATAAAAAAAGAAAAAAGAAAATTTGGATTTGAGTCCCAGCTACACAAACTACCTAACGATGTGACCCTAGAGAAATTATTTCTCACTTTTCTTTTTCTTTTCTCTAGGGGATATAATAATGATAATAATACCTACTGGTCAAGATTGGTAAGAGCTTTAATTGAAATCACAGAAAAGAAGCTACTCAATAAATAGTAAAGCACTACACAAAATTATTAGTTCTTGCCCCGAGTAAAAATAAAATCCTTTAAAAATAAAAATTCTTTCAGCAAATCACCTTTGTAAAAATGAAATCTGAAAATGAGAACGACATTTGAAGGTTATCCAGTTCATATATTTCTCCTCACCTCTCTGCCATGCAAGAGTTACTATACCGGTTTTCCATTCTGAGATAAATAACTACAATGTGGTAAAAAGGATTAAATACCTCTGAATAACAAAAGGAGCTACAAATCAGACCACCTGGTTTAAGTTACAAACTCTACTATTTACTAATTTGGTTATCTTGAGCAAATCAAATAACCTCTGTCAGTCTTTCAGTTATTGTTAAAATAGAATTTAGAAACTACCTCTTCCTTCCAATTTCAATGGGTTGTGGTGTGAATCAAATGAAAACCAGGTCGGGGTGCCTGGGTGGCTCAGTTGGATAAGCACCTGACTTTGGCTCAGGTCATGATCTCATGGGTTCATGGGTTCGAGCCCTGCATCGAGCTCTGCTGTCAGCTAGCTCAAAGCCTGGAGACTGTTTCAGATTCTGTGTCTCCCTCTCTCTCTGACCCTCCCCTGCTCACACTGTCTCTCTCTCTCAGAAATAAATAAAAACATTAAAAAAATGTTTTAAATGAAAAACATCATGGTTGTAAAATTGTATGTAATCAAATATTATTCTCAAGGCAAGCTACGGCAATGTTTACCAATCCTAGCAATGATTTTTAGTGAAACATTTCAACATTTAAATAAAAGGTAAAACAATACCAAAAGAAGATACAGTTAAATATGTGGATCTAAAAAGTGGAATTTATATCACAAAATAGGCTTCTCCAAATTTATTTATCAGAGAAAGATACTTATGTGAAGAGTTTTAACTTTATTCCTCAATGCCTAACCAAATAAAAACATATTCTAAAACTTCTAAAAGCATTTCCTTTCAAAGGGTAAAGAGGATAGTTTAAGGGGTTCATCAATCCTAGTTTCTTTTACTCCCACAAAATCCATTCAGTTTCATTTGTTCGCTGGCTCAATTCTTTTTTTTTTTTATTTTATTTTATTTTATTTTTTTTTTACAAATAGTTTATTGTCAAATTAGTTTCTACATAACACTCAGTGCTCATCCCCAAAGTGCCCTCCTCCATGCCCATCCCCCCCTCCCCCCCACATCCATCAGTCCTCAGTTTTTGTCAGCATTCAAGAGTCTCTCATGGTTTGCCTCTCTCCCTTTCCCCCACCATTTCCGCCCTTCTTCTCCCCCTTGTTCCTCCGTCAAGTTCCTCCTAATCCTCCTATACGTGCAAACATATGATATTTGTCCTTCTCTGCCTGACTTATTTCGCTCAGCATAACACCCTCAAGGTCCATCCATGTTGCTACACATGGCCAGATTTCATTGTTTCTCATTGCCATGTAGTATTCCATGGTATAGATAAACCACATCTTCTTGATCCATTCATCTGTTGATGGACACTTAGGCTCTTTCCATGTTTTAGCTATTGTGGAGAGTGCTGCTATGAACATTGGGGTACATGTGCTCCTATGCCTCAGCATTTCTGTATCCCTTGGGTAAATTCCTAGCAGTGCTATTGCTGGGTCATAAGGGAGTTCTATTGTTAGTTTCCTGAGGAACCTCCACACTGTTTTCCAGAGGGGCTGTACCAGTTTACATTCCCACCAACAGTGTAGGAGGGTGCCCGTTTCTCCACATCCTCGCCAGCATCTAGAGTTCTCTGATTTGCTCATTTTAGCCACTCTGACTGGCGTGAGGTGGTATCTCAGTGTGGTTTTGATTTGTATTTCCCTGATGAGGAGGGATGCTGAGCATCGTTTCATGTGTCTGTTGGCCATCTGGATGTCCTCTTTGGAGAAGTGTCTGTTCATGTCTTCTGCCCATTTCTTCACTGGGTTGTTTGTTTTTCGGGCGTGTAGTTTGGTGAGTTCCTTATAGATTCTGGATATTAACCCTTTATCTGATATGTCATTTGCAACTATCTTTTCCCATTCCGTTGGTTGCCTATTAATTTTCTGGGTTGTTTCCTTGGCTGTGCAGAAGCTTTTAATCTTGATGAGGTCCCAACAGTTTATTTTTGCTCTTGATTCCCTTGCTTTTGGGGATGTGTCAAGTAAGAAGTTGCTGCGGTGGAGGTCAAGGAGGTTGTTTCCTGCTTTCTCCTCTAGGGTGTTGATAGTTTCCTGTCTCACGTTCAGGTCCTTTATCCATTTTGAGTTGA